TTCCAGACAACCTATATTCACGTTGTACTAGACAACCTAGAACCATGAATGTAATAGGCCTATGTCTGAAAAAAAGAGTGACGTGTCCATGTTAATTTGAAGTTTATATGTACCCAAATGACATTGTGAGAGGTTTTCGCAGATCACATCATCACACAAAGTCATGTCCAAAATGAGCTCTCGCTCTGCTCTAAATTCATTCCCCGTACTACTTTGCACTTCTTGCGAAATGTAGATTGCAATCGGACTTCTCAGAATTCTTCACTGTTCAGAACCTATGTGTGGCCGTAATTTGGCTTGGATAGTTGATGTATACCCCACACGTTTTGACAAGGTGTGCTCCTTTTGATCACCCCCTACTTTTTGGTGATGAGAGACAACAAAAATGCAGATTTCTCAGGTTTTGTGAAGCTTTCAGACACCATAATGTACTATTAAAAACGTTATGTACAAAACCTTCAAATGCACAGTTTTGACATGTTTAACAGCTAATGCAAGTAAGTGCGCAAATGCAATGTTTACAAATGTTGTAAATGTATATATAGGCCAGGTCGCGTATTTCTACGGCCTTGCAAAGTGGTCACCCATCGTCCCCCCACCGGCAAGGATTTACGTCCCTGTTTTTTATGACACTATCCAGATAATTAAAATGGAATTGGTTTTCTTCGGGCCTTCCTGGAAATGTCACCAAAGTTACAACCTTTTGCGCGTCTTCCCGTTTTTCTGCTTGTGCCTGCTCTTAACAGTAAACAGGTCATTTTTACCAAGAAGATGTTGCGCGGGTTTCATTGCAAACTAGTGGCTAGCCCCTCCCGGTGCCCCCCCCCAGGTGCCCCCCACTGGATAAAACGGAATGGATATTTAACAAGGCTAATAAAAACTTGCCCCCCCCCCCAAACACACCACTGAAAGCTGCTGCCTCCCATAAGATGCTGGTGCCCCTTTGTGCCCCCACCAGTAATATCCTAGCAACGCCGCTGTTGCAAACCTCAAAGTTTGAGAAGGAATGGCACCTAATTTGAAGGAGCAGGATCAACAACTTAACTACGGAGTGGTGCATCTCGTTGACGGCAAAATTCTCCATCGACAGCTACTTGAGCTGTTAAACTGCACTTTAAAAATATGGCCCGTTGGTTGCAGTAGGGAAGGCTTTCCACAATTGGGCCCCGAGGGCCACACACCCGGGAGGTTGTTGCTAGGTCTGCTCCAACACAATCAAGTGACAAAACAGCCACCATCCTACTGTACAAACCACTTCCATCAAAGCGCCGAGGCACGCGGCTATTGTTGGGAGTGTCGGCGGTGGCGACACGCGGTGTAGTGGGGCCACGCCCGGGCAATTAGAAACTCGTCTTGGTTGTAACTGATGCTCTTTTGACTCAAGGCAAGTAAGGGGTAAAAAAGACCCTTGTTGACAGTGGGATTGCAGCAACGAGACTGTTGAGTCTACAGACCCATTCACGGGGTATTTCAAGCCAGTAGATGGGGATAAGGGTTCCTTTCTAAGAGATCTGATGGAGCCGCGGTTTTGACTGGCTTCACTAAATTGGTCGCAAATACGGTAAAGACGGGCACTGACAAAAACCTCACTTGGCTTCCTTTCGATAGAACGACTTACAGCTTCTTGCCGGTAGCGACCCGTAGTTCTAACACAGTGACCATTGTGCGTTGCTTCAAGTCCTTCATTTTCTGTGGCAAAAGTCTGCACAACGTGGAATTAAATATTTAATAACGATCCAGATGTGTTTTTTTTTTCAACACATCGGCCAGGATACACACCAATGGATGCATTATCCAGTCTTTCATTAAAGTTCATCCAATTTTATACCCCCCTTTTTAAATAATAAATCGAAACTGCTAAAGCACAAATATGTATATTTCTTTCCTTAATGTCAGGCAGTGCACTGCGTCTTCCAGTCTAATCGTGATACAAATAATCAGACCACAACAGAACAAAAATAGTCCTGTTGATAAGTTCCATTCTGTAACTTACTTGCACAGGATTGGAAATTTCTGCACAGATTGGTGAGAGAGATGCTACAGCTGGTAGCAACGCAGTGGCGAATCCACGTTTGTGGTCCGGAGAGGGCAAAATGCATTTTGTTCTCCCCAAAACGACTGTCTAAGTTTTTGTCCCATAAACATCCTCAGCCCAAAGGAAAGATGGCAGTGCCCTTTCTGAAATACTGGCGCTTTCAATTCGTTAAAAACAATTTAAAAAAATCAACATTAACAACAGCAACAGAATTGTCACCATGTTGGGGGTGGGGGATGGGGTCAGTCACCCCCCTTCCTGCCCTCTCCCACCCGCTGGATATGATAAGGCACTGAGTTTACATTATCACGATCCAGCACTCTGGGCTCAAAACAATATAACCATTCACGTTCAGGGATATAGGTCTTGAGACTAGACTCGAACAAGACGACGTTCGAGCAAGTACTCTTTGCCAGTGCGGTGACCCCGGTAACATGCAGGTGCATCTGGGTGCAGGTAACACTTCAGACTCCAGGTTTGGCGGATGTATGCTATTCAAGAGCAAGCTATTTTGTGCAAAGGCTAACAAAGTTTTTTTCACTGTATAAAGGCAGCCTTCCTGATGTTGCGGTGCCTGGATCTGTCTTTATAGGCCCAGTCCATCAATCCAAATTTTTTCGACAATAGTTACTGCTATTTTAGGCAAAATGGAGTTTCTCTTTTAACTGGAATGTGCTAATGTGTAAGAGTTGAGGTAATCTCTATGTATGTTTATGCATTGAGGTCAAGTCCTACTTCAGGTGAGCGCAAAATTTAAGTGAATTTGGCACCACGAAACATTTGCTCCCTGAATATTTGATTAAACCTCACCACAAGAACTCCGTGTTCATTTTCGCTTCCGCAAATGTGTGATGCAGGGGATGATCCGGAATTTTTTTTTGGGGGGGGGGTCAGATCCATCAGGTTTCTTTTCAGTCCAATTATTGCAAACAGGCCGACACACACGTAATGCATTACATTATCATTAATGTATACAAATAATAAACCGTACAGGATGTCGCCTTTCTTTATTATTATTACAATAATTATGTTATTTTGTGTATTCAGTCCTGTTCTGGTGTCAGAGCGGGAGAGGGGAGTCGACTCCCTAAACCCCTCCTCTGGATTCGCGCCTTGGATGCAAAGGGCTCCAGCAACAGCGCGCAACTGAACGCAAAATTAACTTTGAACAGAGCAGCGTGACCTATCGTGCCGAACTCGCCACGCGTGCACGCGTAGGCGCAGGTTCGTGCCAGCACTCTGAAAGTAATGCACACTCATCTCCAAAGAATCTATTTGCCTTCGATCAATGTTGATGTTTCCGTCTTCTTTTGAAAACATATTTGTCAGAATGACTCCATCATTGAGTCAATAGGGTCTGTCACCGAGGTATTCAGAGGGTGGTTTAGCGGGTCTATTCGCCGGTCACACCTGGGAGGACACAGGTGTTACCACGGTACAAGGATTCCCAAGTTTCCTCTTCGTATTGTGCCCTTTGCAGCCACTCATCAATAAATCACCTGCATGGCAACTTTCATTTTGGTTGTGGGAAAATACACGGACGCTATTGGAGTGTAAATTTTTCTGCCACGTCGCCATGACCATCGCAGGAACGCGTAAGAAATCGTTAAGTGGCTTATACCGAAAGAATGTTTAAAGGGGCTCACAGAGACAGCTTTGAAGTTCCTGTAGCAAACATAAAAGGAATTGTCTTTGATGCAATGCTTATACCGCTGGTTAGGCGCAGACATTTCATGGAGTGCACGACTAGGCCAAGGAATCATCTTTCAAAATATACTTTGGGCAGTGTTGTAGCAAGTCATTGAATTCGAGTCGAATTAAGTGGAGTTAATTTGGGAAGTACCTGGAGTCGAGTCAGCGGATGAAGATTATCGAGTCGAATCGCAGTGTGCGCTCGAGGCGGGTAGCAGTTTACTCGAGTCAGTTCGAGTCACTTATATTAGTACATGAGGGCGGAGGAAGGTTTGGGACTTATCGGTTGTTAGACTGTTTGTTTCGAATTTCATCTTGGTTTGTACATGTGCGAGGTAAAATACACTTCAACCTCTTTAAAGGGTTTACATTTATTCCTATACGTACAGCAGTGTTGTAAATTAGACACTGAATTGTGTGCGTGACAGACGTCGAGTCGTTCTGCTCACGTTCACTGTCGCCACTGATTGTGACCCAATTTGGACTCAATTTGAGTCACTACAACTCTGCCTTTGAGTCACTTCATTGCTGCTTACCAGAGTGGGGCTGTGAAAATGAGCTGTTGCAAATGCACGCGAACAAGAATTTTACGTTTGGTCGTGACATTTTTCTGAGTAATATTTTGTCCGTTAAGTCAGGTAACCCTACAAAACCCGATAAATTGAAAGTTCCAAGAAATTAAAAAACGTGTAATATTGCACATCGAAGTGATGCCTAGCATTTGGTACTGTACAGAGGTGGATGTGATTTATGGTGAATATAAAGGTTACTCCGGCTATAAAAGCGAACATGTTTACCCAGTTAAATTTTGCCTCAGAAAATACCCTTAATAATGATCTAACAGTGTTTGGGGCTTGCTCCAAACGGCAGGCAAGGGCATTTCACCGCCCATCTTTCGCCCACACATTCCTATATAGATATGCCCACGAATTCCGATGGAAAGCCTGAGCCAGCACGAACGGAAAATATAAACCTCGCACAGAAACAGATTTAAACTGAGATTCACGGCTCTTCAGTAAAAAAGAGTTGGGCACCAAAGGCCAATCCACTTCATCATGTCCATTAAAACTGAATAAATAAAGGCGCATGCCTGGCGACGGGCCTGTGGATCGAGCTCTTGATTGGTCCTTTGCGCGACAGTGATTGTCATAGAAGTCTGTTGATTGGCCAAGACGCCTGGGTTATTATCGCCTCATTGCGCATGAGCTGGAGAAAACCCCGGATTGTCGGTGAGCGCTTTGAAAACGGCCCGAACGGCGAATTTCAAATGGGCGCTCACTTTGTTTGTTTTCCCGGACTTTGGGCAATTCCTTTGATGTGCCGACGGGCCTTTGGTGCCTTTATCCAACCCACCGACAGTTGAACTCATTAATTTTGTCATTTATTATTTTACCTTGCTGTGTCGCGCATTACATGCTCTCAGATACTAATTCCTCGTAGACTCACTGGACGTGTTTTTAAAGAGCTCAGTCGGAAGGCAAAGAGCAATGTTTGACATTAGATGTTGAAGTTTTCACTGGAGAGGGCAAGCTTTCACAGTCGTGTTGGATATACTTAAAATACTCGTAAAAATCGTCCTCACAGCATTGAACATCGCACAAACTATACGAGAACTTTCTTCGCAGCCCTACTCTCCGAAGCTTTCTTATCACTACGGAACGAGTCAAAGTTCAATTTTGTGTGTGAGTGGCAGAATGCGCTGTGATTTCTAGTCAAAACAAACTCGAGCTGGTAACTAATTTTATCCAATGTGGAGAAGTGAGGAAGCAGCTATGGAGTTTCTCAGATGTTCTTTCCTGTCATCAATTTTAATGGGATTAGTACTAATGAAACAGGGCCAAGCATTAGTCGATAACTCTTTCCGACTGTCTTCGTCGGAGTCGGCGGCAGCCACAACGATACGGATGACAACTTCATTATCGTCCGCTTCCCCAGTACTCCCGGACCCGCGTCTGTCCCACTGGGCTCGTGCCGCCAGCGACTTCCTCCGGAGTCTGGACTGCGCGGCCGTCACGTTCACGTCGCAGACGGAGTGCCAGCGGCTTCAGACGATGGACACGAAGCAGATGAGCGTCTACCTGGCCGGGCCCCGTAGCCGGCAGAGGATGATCGCCGTGCTGCCTGACGGCGGACTGAGCCGGGGACGAAGCCACGATGCGGTGCTCGTGATCGACCCCTACCCTGCGGCCTCCTTCGGACATCTCGTCTTGGTGTTCTCGCTGGACTTAGATTCGGATTGGGAGGACTGCAGGAATCGCCTTGGATGGTACATAGGTGAGTAGGACTCGTATTTGGTCTGAAATTCAAACTCGTTTCGAATACAAGACGTCAGTTTCATACATCCGTCAGTGCAGTTTGTACACTGAGCTTTTGGGTGAGACCTGACCACAAATTGTATGTTACGAATTGGTGAATATTATTTAAATTGCATTTCCTGAGGGTTTCTATGGCTTTTCTAAGCTGTCATTCCACTGCTGTTTACGTAGCAATTTTCCCACAGGTATAATGCAGAACTGAGGTTGATAGTTACGTTTTAGTGACGTGTCAGGGTGCTTTGACATTGGATAGCCCCGGCGGGACAGATGATCCATGGAACTAAATTTAGACCGCCTTCAGCCGTGATGGAATGGGCATGGTTTACCTAGGGATTATTTACTTCGGTTTAGCACGCAAGGGAGATTTAGATGGTCCTCATTCTTGGGTTGTCAATGGAAGGTGATGTGACACACAGTTGGAGAAAGGGAAGGTGTTGGCTGGGACGTCGTCAATATTATTTTGACAGGTATGTACAGTGCTTTTTGTGCAGACTTGAGAGAGAGCTTATTACGTCATTGGATTTCTGCGAACCACCCGTTGTTCACATTCCAGGGAAGGTCTCTTATCTCGAGTATAACGTGACGATGCGTTTGAAGTGGACTTCCCATGCACATTGTTGGAATTTTCCCATGTGCAAGGTCAAGGCCCGAGAGATTAAAGAACATCAATTCACCCACTAAGACAGGGTTTTGGAGTTCAAAGATGTTCACTGTACGTGTTATACTCGCATGCGATGAGGACCCCCCTCGTGTCTTGGGTGTGACTATCTGTAGTATAGGTTGGCCGCCCCTTGCTTAAGTTGCCCTTGGTCTAAGTCACCATTTACAAATAAGACAGACCTTGAGCGTAAATGATTGAGTAGAACTGAAACTGTGCGAATGTACATGTATTCTCTCAGCAGTGTTCTGCATGTCTTTACAAGGATATGAACAATGATGAACATCAAACAGCCGTTTTTATACGTAGTGTCAAAATTTACCCGTGTACATTCAATTGTAGCCGTACCCACTGGATGCAACTGCAGAACATCTTTTTCTGTCTGGGGTGGCCTTGCAATTGCTGGGCGTATGAAAGTTGTTTCACTTCCAGTAAATGCTACACTTACTGTGTTGAATGGTTGAACACAGTCTGTTCCTGTCGGCACCTGTGTAGTAATTCAACCTATTGTCCCGGTTGCGTATAGCGCCATTCAGAGCGGCATGTTTTCAACCTTTTCTTGGGGCCCGTCCAGATTTCCGCATTAGTGACCGCCTTGACTGGGGCGATTGTGAGTGTTGTCATTTTGGTTGCATGGTTATCAATGGCGGTGGCCACGTTTGATCATTTTCCGGTGTGACAAGCAGGAGGGATTGTCGGGCAATCTCGGCTAAGTGGTTCCATTGATGGAGTTAAAAAGTCCAGTAAAGGGAGTGAACAGTGGTGGCGTTACGCCAGGCTTGAGCCAAACAGCGCCCAGACGGAGCAGGGAACCCAGACGACGACTTGCTGGGTGTATGCAATGCTACTGGCTCATCCTGGAGCTACAGTCTTGGCACACTGACAGCCAGTAGTATAAAGCAATTTCCCTACAGGTTCAAAATTTTCATCTTGTGCATACTAAGCGACAACTTTGCCAGGCAAATACCAACTGGAACTTTAAAATGCCAGCCGAGTTGAAGCAGAATGTGGTTCAAATATTTAATGGGTGCTACCGTTATCTTTTTTGTTGTTCACGCACACGTAGTGGTAATGTCACAGGGCGTAAGCCGAAGGGAGAACCTTGGTTTTTTGAGGGGGTGGTAGATATGTCAGATGAGTCTTTTGGTCGGTTTTCGATTCTATTTTTTTCGATTTGCAATGATCGATTCCCAGAGGACTATGCTCAGATCAAGTGATGATGTCCGGATGTCCTGCTATGACTTTTTCTCACGCCTTCTTTCATACTGTAACGCTGGATTCCACTTGGAGGCTGTTCGTTGTTACTGTGATTGCAGGTGGGAAACACTTGTATTTGAATTATGAGAAGTATTCGGCTGTGTTCTCTTACCCTAAAAGAGCCGGGGGCGGAATCTGCCCCCTCCCCCACATTTTTCCCAGATGTCGCTGCATTGTATTATTTCAGGAGTTGAGCCTTTAAGAGTCTAGAGTAACTCTTTGCAGGTATTGACACCAATCTTTGCGAAAATCGAAACTACTGTTCTTGCGCAGCGAGCATTTTCCCCGAGACAGGTCACCCACAAAAATACCTTTTCAACTTTGCGCGTTGCTCAGTGCGCGGGACACATGTAGCCTTGAACTTCAAATGACCGTGACAACAAACCATACATCTGATTGAGTTCAAACTTAATCAATATTTTCATATGAAATAGTTCTTCTAACGCCCAGTACGTCACGCAGGTCTTCCTTGATTCTTGTACACATTATACTTGCATAACACTGTACGAGTATAAAAACGCAAGTCCTTTCATTTCGGTTACTGCTTTATTCAGAAGTCTTTATGTTCTACTGCATGCAGGGAGAACGTGATTTCTACGTGGGAATAAGAGATTTACACGGATGGACTTAGACAAATATGGTTCTGTACAAGTAGTTTTGCAGCAAATAACGTTACAGGAATTTGATACGGGGAATTTCTAGGGAAACCTATTCGTCTAAAGTTCAGAGTAAGAGACTGTAAGTACATTAAACCCAAGTAGGAGCCAAAGCACCTTTTGGAGCAGGTATTACTTTTTTGCTGCCCATAAAAAGACAAACAAATAGAGCTCAGTCGTGACATTGTCTGTCCGTCATCGCTGGGCGACACCAAGCCGGAGCGGCCCTGGCTGACCCTGCCGGGGGGTTCACGGAACGGAAGCCAGGGGTCGGAGAACCACAAGTGTGCGGTTACGTGACGCCCCGTTGCGCTAGTGGAGAGACCCGAGGCGGCGGAGCTTCATGGTTCTGTCAGTCGCTTGCTGACTAGGCCGCGAGAAAGGTACATGTACTGTACATGTTCATGCACATAGGCTGAATTGCATGCAGCAGGTCACCTGGGGACACGTTGAGTCTCTCAGTGGATCGCAGGTATGGCAGTCAAAGCATACCGAAACTGCCTGTTGGAGCCTCAGACTCGAGACAGTAGTAACTGCGACACCTTCAGTAAAGGGGGTTTCGATCGTAACTGAAAGTGTCACTTGCCCGTGCGATGTGAGAAATAATTGTCCTTGCGTGGAATACGGTTGCATGTCACCAGTTGTATTTTGTTGGGAACGTAGCATCTGAAAAAGGCCCATACATGATATTTTTTTTTGTGAATTTAAATCCTTAAGTATTTTGCAGATATTTCACAGTTTTCCTTTTTCAAGTGGTGTTGGAAGGAATGTCTGTTTTGATGCGAATACATAATACGGGTATTAAACGCTGTGATATCGTATAGTCTAACAACTTGATTACATAACAGAGTGCAAGATTTCTTTCGGTTATGTTCTTACTCTTTTAAGTTGTTTTTAAAGGATTTATTTCAGGATAGCCCTGAGTAAAATCACTTTGTATCAACCATTAGGCCTCCCCAAAAGTCTCTGGTTTCTGGTCAGTGCGTGTATCGCCGTATACCTGCACGTCAGCAAAATAATGAATGTTTCTATTTGTTATAAAACGATGTCCAAAAGCTGCCAAACTTGCTTAATGGACTGGAATCCTGCTCCTGTAACTTGTTTTAACGTGTTTTGATGGGGTACGGTTGAGTAATATGTACAGTAAAGGAGTCCCTCTAGTTCCCCATACATTCAGTCGGGCACTCTTTTTCAGGTGACGTCATCTCTGTATTATACATTTACACTGGGAACCAGACAAACGAGGTGTTCTCTTGTCCTGTGCCATGTACAATGCTTTTAAACAGTAAAAATGCGGGGGCCAGTCCATTCTAGTGTTGGTAGCAGCCGACGTTATGGGGGTATGCAGTCGCGATGCACATCGCGCGTTATACTTACATCATTGCAAGAAAAAAAGTGAGCGAAAAAAGCGGCGTCGCCGCACCACGTTTGGAGTCAGCTCCTGACCACAAACTGGGGACTTTTGTGGCCTTACCTTTGTATTTTGCGTTCGCTTGTATCTAATTTCCTCCCTAGGTCGAGAAGTATTGTTCAGCGATGCACTGTCTATCTTGATTTTGCCTCAGCGTCCAGTGATTTATTCGTGTTTTATTTATATTTTTGGGAGGGGAGGAAGGGATTCATTGCTTGCTTGTGGGACTTTTTATGTTTTGTTAGTTCTTGTAGTTTCAGTTTTACCAGCATTGCAATACGGGCGATTCACGATAGTGCGCCTCCAAGATTTCGTTGACCAATTACAAGCCGCGAAATAGACCGTATTCGCGGCGTCCCCAATTTCAGTCGTGTTCCTGTACGCACTGTATACATTTTAAACCAATATTGGGATGATACCAGGTGATTTTAAGGGTTGTAATAAAATCGTAGAAAATAGTTTGTATCTTTGAATTTAATATTTTCCAATAAATACACTACTTTGGGGAATATGACTGAAATTGGGGTACGCCGCGAATACGGTCTGTTAGTCGAATTTTTCCAAACGTGCATTGGGTCGGCGGATTTCGCGCAGTGTGAGTGGTCAACGCGTTACAAACTCTTGGAGGCGCATTGTTGTGCAACGCCCGTATTGATACGTCACTTAATGGAAGTCGCTGGTTATATTTTGTATCGAGTCTGCCTTGCGCTTGACTGTTCTCAGTCCAGCCTTCTAATGTGGGTTTGAGTAGGGTGCATAGCAAGAGCGGATCCATGCCAGTTTAATCTGTATAGCAGTAAAAACTGGGGACTTCTAATGCAATCTTAATATATTGTGGGGCTGAAGAGTGAGGCTTTTACACACTTTTAGAGGGAAGAGAAATGAACCTATGTACCCTGCGGTGTCCTATTATTGCTGCCGTTTTCCAGCCAGGGTTACCAATGGTATCGTGAGGGTCTCATGCCTGGAGAACTCGTCTTTACTTTAGGCAGCGTTTCGGTCTAGTTGCTCTCTATTGTACCTTGGCCCGGGTCGTTTCTTTAATCCCGACAGCGAAATCCACCTCACGGGAGGGGAGATGGAGTTCTCCGATATCGCCCCCACCTCTCGTCAACCGCCCAAATCCCAAATGGTCGAGGGTAATTCCAAGGAAGCCTTAATTCACACCTGGCAGCAAAACACACCGGCCGATATACCGAGTTATCCCTGCGTTTTACGGCCCCCCCCCTTCGCGACCAGATCAAAGGGTGCCGCGAACCGCCGCTCGTGGTTGTATTTTGACATCAAACAAAAGTGGGGGTGCTGTCGTTAGTCAACAAGCCCCTTTCTACGGTAGGTTCGGATATTTGTTTGCCAGGTTTTATAGGTGAATGAGATTCGCTCCTATTGTTTTTCCTTCCCCGACGGGTGTCAATATGCACCCCCACGTGGCGGCTGTAAGTGATATTCCAACCAAGAGTATCAGTCCGATTTTCGGGGGAAACATCGTAAACACCCCCCGGTTGGGAGAGGGGATAGTTCCACAGTTTCGTGGTAGCCGGTAGGAGAGACAACAAAAGCTGGAATGCAAGTAATGTGAAGCAGAACAGAAAGAGTAAATTTGGAGAGCAGTACATGTATACCTCCGCTTGTGCAAGCATTACAGCATGCATGTAGTTAGCGTATGCAGAGCTTTAGTAGTAGCTCTCGATATGCTAGTAGAGCATAAACAACGAGACTTTTCGGCGCAACAGGCTGCGGGTAATCTTCCAATAATCACACTAGTACTGTCAGCCGCCTCCCCGCTGTTTTACCAAGTCTTTTTGTCCTGTATGCCTACTAGTTCCTACACTTAACTCTTCCCCCACCTTTCTGCGCTCCTCCACCCCCCACTTTTTTGTAAACGTCTGGAATCAAAACATAGGCCACGTCGGTCCTTTTCACAACAGCTTCATGAACTGCCTGCGGAGTGTTCTTTATTTTTCTTAACGTTTAATGGACAACCCTCAGGACAAGTTCTCTTTAATTTGAACCATCAACTGTTTTATTTACGGCATGTGTGCAGATACATACGTTCACTGAACTTTGCTGGACCTAAACTGTGGAACAACCTACTCGATTTCTAAAAAAAAATATCACCAGTTTCTCCACCTTAAAAACAACTCCAAACGTTTGTTTAAATAGATTCTAATCAGTAGTCAAAAGGAATAAACTACTGGATGTTTTTATCAGTGAATATTCCATTTTATAATGTTGAATGTTTTTCTTGTTTTAGTAATAATGGATGTGCATATTTTTTCGATAACAGCGCCTTTTTGCAAGCCAGCTATTGCTGAACAATGTTACCCCGGTAAGAATATGCAAAATACTGTCGTATCTCGCCGAGCGACGGTATACACAACAGCTCTCGTCGTATTAAACGTTTGGACAGGTGTTTTCTCGTGAACAGTCACTGGTATTTTGACATAACGCAGGCTTCGTTCACACAGATCTGATTACCCCTTGCTTCATACATGTATATTTGAATACAGGTGATGGGGAATGCATCCATATCCTGGAAAAGCGCCGTTGTCGCAACAAGCTACATCGAAAGAGCGGAAGAAGGCGCTGCGAGGTCAACTTCCTCCCGTTAGTGCATCTGGAAGGTGACAGCGTAAGTACATGCATTATGTAAAGCTGTCTTCCTTGCCAATTTTTGTTTTCAAGTTTCCTTTAAAGTGAACGACACCTTAAAGGTGTAATTTGTTGTAAGATCCGCATCACTCAGTGTTCATGTCGTGTAGTTCTTATTAAATCGGCACCAGGTTAAGGTCATCTGTGGGAATGAGGGCGTGCTTCCTGTAATTGGTAGAGGGCAGTATGATGCGAAAGCCGTGAGATAAAATTAGGGCAGACCAAAGCCCACCTTAGACACTTTTCACACGAGTTAACCTCTCGGAGTTAACCCCCCCCCAAAAAAAAATACCCTCGAGATTCCCCGGATTAAGCGTTGTGTCCATATTACACTTTTTCCTCCCTAGGTTAAGTGCCTTAATCTGGGAAATTTCTAACCATGCTCAAAAGCAAGGTAAACTTACCAATCTCGGGGTTGACTGCGACCTTCAAGTTGAGACATTCCCCGGATTATCTTTGCAAGTGAGAACACACGCAGGGCTAACCCTGGGCGGCGCTAACCCTGGGCAACTGTCAACCCTTTCACACTACGAAAATCTAACCCAGGGAATTCGGGGAGCGTCCTGAATAGTAATGATACAATATAACCCAGATCGCGACCTCCACCCATAATTCATTGCCGCACACTGGTTTTCGTTTGACCAACGCACGCAAAATGTTGTGTGATAGTAGCAGGTTCCCTCATCTCGCCGAAATCAGAGGCACCTACCGCACGCACAAATAGATGCTGTAGAAAGGGGGCACCGTTCAAGTGTAACATTCGCTTTGGCGCATACGCGCGCCGTGACCCTGCATCTCGCGCCATTGTTGCTTCACCTCTGACCTTACAAGATAGTTCCAGGTCGTCATGCGAAACTGTCCGAACAACTTTACCCCCGTAGTTCGTTAGCAGAATCTCTGGGTTTACGGGGTAAGTGTGATATGCTACTCCGGGTTAATAACAGTAACCTTGGAAATAGATTTTTCACTTAGCAGTTTGTAGTGTGAGAAGGGCTTAAGACTCATTTTTTTTTCAATGCATTGAAAGGAAACTCCATTTTTGCGATCACATTCAGTTATTTGAATATTTTCTCTCCATCCCGAAGGCGTCGGTTATTCCTATTCGAAAGTAAACATGTAAGAGTCCTCACTATATTCAACTCTTGGTTTGTCGACACCAATCTGTCAAAGGACAAATTATTACTTTACAAGGAAAAAGATTAGGGCTCATTGCGTTGTATCGTGTTAATTATCGTACGAAAGTCACTTGAGTGCGTTTTATGATCGTGTTTTCTGAGAATGAAACTTTCGTCGTAAAATGACCAAATAAACCGAACCAGGGCCAGCTCAAAGGTAGCGACGTTGCTTCAAATACCTCAAACCAATTTAGCCATCAATAACAGCTGTAATGTGCTTCGTTACTGATGCTGGATTTGGGCATATGCATCGCAATCTCGGCGTATATACAAAACAGGCAGATAAAAATATAATGATAAAGTGGTCGAGTCACTAAAATGTCAGGTTAGCCCGGGGCCCTGAAATGTAGAGATATAGAGAGGTGAAAACAAGACTCTTGGAGCTGTATTTTATACTGGACGGAAGGCAATCACCTTTGAAATCTCACCGGCCCGGCAATTTTACGAGGTCTTCAAAGAGACCGGTTGCATTTATTATTAACACGATCGAGTTCATCAACCGAACGAGCAAAATTACTACGTAGGGAACCATATCGCGAGTGTAATTTTAACCCCATGGATGGCGATCTGCTGTCCCCTCACAGCACGGTTGCTTTCGTATGATTCATGCAAGTCTTATTTCATCCCAGGTCCCCCGGGGCGCTAGATGTGCAACTGAGGATCACGTAGTGCCGAGCGAATCTAGCTAGAATTGGAAGTGAATCTCGTAATCATGATAACTCTGGATACTGTTGAGGACAGATAGAATCGAACTCGAGCACAGTGCAATGTAAACGAGTTTGTCTGGCTGCAAAATACTTGCCTCGTAATTCTCAGTCCTCTTTCAGAGCTATGTACATGTATATAAGCACTCAGACCCTTGCTCTTCAACAGTCAAAAGAAGTTAATGCGCTGAGAATCTTTAACATGTTCAGAAATATACACGTGAAAAACGAACACACAAGTAACAACCATGATTAAATCTTCATCTTCATGCATGAAGATGAAGATTTGACTTTTCTTCTCGTCGCGACGTGTGAACAAAAGATCTTGACTGAGGCCGTAAAGTAAGAGACGTCCACTGATATCCGACAAATTAAAGTCAAAACTACTCCAACTTCACAAACTTTTCCCTTTGTTGTGTCTCTACTGCAGAAGAAAGAACAGCAGCTTCGGTGTTTTTCCAACACTGGATCGTTTGGGTCGTGTCCCCAGTACCGCACAGATGTTGGGAACTACACAAACCGATGCGAGCTGTCCCACAACACGTACAGATGCGAAATACCAGTGCAGCATGTAAGTATACCAACACACTCCCTCTACAGAATTAATGTTTGTGCATCACTTGATGACGAATTCTTCTGCGTTAAAGCGGCCACTACACGTGCTTGGAAGTACAGAGCTCGCTCTTTTAAACCACTGAAAAGGATCGCGACCAATCTGATCGTTTACGTGTTTCGATACGTGGCAACACCGGTACATGTACCCTACACAATATTCAACAAACGCTTCCACTGGGGAGTAACCTTAAATTGGCCGTGCTTAGATTTCCCACCTTTCCACCTCCGCGATCTCGGTTCGTATCCTAGCAAGGTCGACACCCTACCTGATTCCGTGCTTTTTCCATGGTATATTTATTCGAGCTTTTCCTGGCACCTCTTAAACCAAAACTGAAAATTTCATTGTCACATATGATCATCCCATAATTTGAACTGTTAGCTAAGCAGAAAAAAAATAAATGGATAAAAACCATACACGTGAATCGAACAGGCTGTTCTTTGTCATGTTGCACGAACTGTTTTTATATTATATTATATATTACATATTTACATATGTTTGAAATCAATGGAATCTAAGGGTTTTGTTGGTCAGAGAAATGAATACAAATAACATCGGTTTCAGAGGACGGACGTATATAAAAAACCTGGACTTGCAACGCCTTTGTATGAAAAAGAAAGCCAACCAGTGGCCATTTTACCGAGCCGAATACAAAAGCGTGTGTCGGCTCCCTTCTATTGACGTAAGGAAGAACAGACATTGCCAGGAAAGCTTTGTATTCAGCTCAGTAAAATGGCCGCAAACGGATTCAATGACTCCATAAGCTGATTAGGGGCATTGCAAGTCCAGAGTTTATTATACACGTCCGTGTTTCAGAGTAAGAAACAATGTCCTGATTGGAGTAAATGATTTTGCACGTAATTAACGACAAAGTGATCTTATGAAAACGATCACGGTGCTATGTAAATTTGCAGTTTGTAGTCTGGGATGAAGCGTTTTGATTTCTTTCGCGGATAAAAAACAGGTTTTAATAATCAATCAGTTTTTCTTGCCAGATGATTGCGTTTGATATCAATTAAGAGCTGCACCATCCCCGACCTTTTATTCCAAATTCCTTCTGTAGGTCAACTCGAGGTGCAAGTACTACGAGATATGCGACCAGGCCGTGCTGATATCGGGAGGCTGGAATAGGCAGATAAGCCAACAGCGACACGCTCAGAACATCCGGGGCATGTACTCCATGCTTCGAGAGCACGGGTTCAAAAGGCCGAACATCAAGACATTTTTTGCTGATAGTGGCGATATCCTCCGTAAGTTCGTTAGCATACTGAAGTGCAGGATGGCCTGCAAACCTCCTCAAATGGCTATACCGTTGGTAGCTTTTTATCAGACGGCGGTGATGTCTCGTGAATTGACTGGCCAGGAGCAGTTTGGATACATGTAATACACTGTTGTCAATATTATTTAGTTGTGTACATTTAGCCTGCAATTTCTAACTTGTACCAAATGAGTCTCCTGTTTGCTTTAGATATTCCAGTTGAAATGCTGGAAGCGTTTTTGTTGCCGCTAAAGTTTGGTTTCAGGCAAAGCTGTGAAGTAATTTCATTCCCATCATGGGCGGCCTACCGTTTTCTGTGTTCATTTTGTGTCATGCATGTCCTGCAAATCCAGCATGTCTTCAGTAAAACAATTATTTTCAGGGTTTTTTGTGGGGGGGGGTGGGGGGATACAGACCCGAGGACGTAAAGGCATGATTTGTGCACTCTTTTATGTTTATAATTAAATTGGCATAATTTGAGTAAAACTATTTTTTTCCAATTTTTAGTGGAAGAGGACGAACATAGCAACCGCAACTCCTACCCTGCAACTCAGAAGGACGCGATTAGGAACCACATCAGCACGTTGTGCAGGGTACCGAACTGTGTGGAAACCTTAGTCATCTACCTCAACAGCCCCACAACAAACGACGGCACCAGTCTGCTGTGGGATACTGACAACAATGGAGTGGTAAGTGGACCGAGGGCTTGTAAAGTGAACTACATGTAGTTACAGGGGGCATTTTCTAAGTTTTAAAAGGTCCATGCGATGAATTTTTTGAAGACATACTTTCAGGGCATCTTTGTACTTTTGTTCAATGACTGAAACACCTTTTGTCCAATGACTGAAACACCTTTTGTCCACAGAATGAAACATTTAAAATCGTACACACTTTTCTAGACAGCTGAGGGCGTTGTTGCTTTGTTGATTTGTTTTGTGACCTAAAATTCGCTCATTGAAAACATTTCTATATGATAGTGGATCGTCAACAAAACGGAAATTATAACATGAAATATAAAACATTCCCGCAGATTTGTGTGCACAAATCAATCTAACCTCGAGGTTTTCTCCTTTAGATGGCACCCCAGTTTTGCTCAGAATTATCAAAACTCTTATTGATATGAAAATAAAAAGGCACCAAAATACCTTTTTGAATCAAACATCCCAATTGCTACCATGTTGTTTACAGGCTGCAACTTTGTGATTGCTTGGATTTCTCAGTGAATTAATACCCCATAGGTGTTTTCCCCTCTTCCGTCCCTAAGTTCATTATCGTCACATAAAGAATTCATAATGTAATAGTGTGTCGTTAAAATTTGCTTCCACTTATAAATACATGTAAATATATTTCAAAAATTAGACTGCATACTACCTTTCTACATTGTAATTCATTTGCAATGGAGCAAAACCTGGCCAAACTGGCAGATTATCGTTGGGAGTTTCTACTTTCAGGCCTCGGATGCAGAAACTTACTCAACTATGGAACTCCTGGAAGACCTGGAGGACTGCCGAGCCAAGCGAATTTATGTCATTGCTGACCAGAGCTACTCCGGCTTATTGGCCGAGTCGATCATTATGTCCGAAAGCCATGGCAACGTGGTGGTGTTCGCCAGTAGTGGATCCACGGAGTACGCGTGGAACGATGAGTTGACGTGGCAGTGGATACAGGCCAACCACACCACGCAGTGCGTGGATGTGATATTCGAGGCAAGTGACACTGTGGTTGGCATTGTCTTGAAGGACATTCTAATAACTGCTGAAAGGAAAGCACTCCAATAAAGACAAAGTCTGTCTTCCGGAGATCATTTCCTGAATGCGGTCCTCCAGTGTACAAGATTGTACTTTGTCTGTGGCATACCACATCCAGAATGAACAAGGGACAGTACAGTGACTTGTACTATGACACAATATCCAAAGACATGTGTTTGTTTGTAATTGTAATTTTACCGTTCATTCGTGAAGCATTTGGGAGAACGCTAATCTGATCCTGCACAGTATCATCTTACTGCAGTGTGGGGTCGGACTGGTGCAGTTCGTCCGAAAACTTAATATATGCGCTCGTTTTCCACTTCTCATACCCTTCACGTTCTTATTCAAACCAGGACTATATGGACACCTTGTCGTCTGTACCGGCCATGGCAGAGGGCGGTTTCAATGCAGCGAACAGCACCATCTTTGGCGCACCTTGCGAGACGCTACCGTTCTTCACTCCGCGCGAGATTAAGACGAACTTCATGGGATGTCAAAATCTTCCCATGGCCTGGTGGCTGTTCAAGTTTCAAGAGTCAAGGAACTCCAAGTCGTAAAACGACCGACATAGAGAGCCTGAATTTGTATGTTATTTTGTCGATACGGTGGACTTAAAACATTCGGTATGGAAAATATTTCAATTAGCTGTGTAGTTTTCAAGTTGAACTATGTTAAAGTTCCAGGTACAGGATAAGCCTGGTACGTACGGTGCTTGTGCCTTCGAAGGAGAACATATATTCAAAATGGAACCGTTTCATGGCTGGTTCTTAGTCCGCTGCCTTCTCAATTATCGGCTGTCATACAAATCTTTACAACAGTTTTCCGCATGAGTGACACAAATGCTATACCATTAAGAGGTCAGTTTTAGATAATATCACAATAGCCTACCGGCCGACCTTGTAGTTAGAAATGGAGTCAACATTTGATGGGGTGTACTGCATTGTGAATTACGTCAATTTCTGTGGTCGGCAACAAATTCATAAACCTGTTGTGACAGATCATCTGTTCAATATTCACAGCGTTTAACATTGTTGTTGTAAACATCTTGTATTACGGTAAATCCGTTTGTAACGAGTGTGCATAGCTTATATAACATTTACTGGCCCCACTTCCCTATTTTTGACGTTGGAATATTCTCCATACAGAACCACCTAGTTGTAAATGATTGTATATAAAGAAATAGTATTATCAACTGTTTTGATTGATGCGACGATACTTCTGCGCTAATTCTCGTAGCACTTGATTGTCAAGGAATTGGTCATGTGGAAATAGGGAAACTATTGTGGCATCTTTGCTCTCTAGATCAACTTCTATTTCAGGAACATGTATATTAGATTGTACAAAACAGGTACATGTACTTGAAAGCGAAGCAAGGTGATAGTGTGCCTACTCAAGTTATTTTTCGGGAGAAAAATCGTTAAGAACAACTGTCATTTTAGCATAATATGTTTCAACTTATTTATTACATGTACTTCTCTCGTGTAAACGGGTGATTTACAACATATTTCTGCAGGACAAACATCCATACAGCGCAATGTAAGTTTCTAAAGTCCGTCATAGAAGAAGATGCAGTGTGTTAAATTTCCTTTGCAACGACGCAGCTTTTTTCTTTTTTTTTTCTCATATGCAGTTAATGTTTTGCTGGTACAAGTTGTTCATTGGCCTGGAAAACGAGGTTGAGAGGCTACTTTAAGTTTTTACGTTGCACAAACTGCTTGTAGTCCTATCATTTGAAAAAATGTTGAGGAAGACCGCTGTCTTTTTTCAAATTTGTTGTTCTCTCCTTCTTAATAATTTCTCCAGTACAGTTATGGGGACACTTTTGTTTGTCTGCTGTTGTCATTAAATTTGCCTGATTTTTGGGGGGGTTTGTTTTGTATTGTTGGTCATATGCATAGGCCTATGGTTGGATTTGTGAGCTGACTTCATTCGCAAATATAATCTCTCTTGAGATGGAACATCTTTGGACAAGATAATGTCTGGTAGTTTAAAAACGTATTTAAGCATGTTTTATCTCCCTCGCACACTTGACTGCCCATTGTACATATAGGAAGCATATTATCCATTGTACATACAAATAAGATTATCTATTATGCTTTGTCATCTCTATGTTAATGTGCCTTTAATGACTGTATATACTGTCGTGTGCTTTCGGTACAACCTATGTAAACGGTGTAAGGCTGAATTAAAAAAGTAATTATACACCCATACCGTTGAGGTCTTTACGGTGTATATGAGTCATTTGGCACCAACGTTGTGAATTCTTGTGTGTAGCAGCAAAAATGTGGATCTGTGCCACTTCGGTGTGGTTCCAATGAAATATGCTGTGCTACGCCACGGTATTCAGCTTGAGTCAGTCCGTTTTAATCGACGGCTCCACGAAATTAACCCTGTTTATCGCGTAACCCCCTTCACTTTGATTTGAATTGTGGATTTCGGTCTGAGATTCGTGTTTTGTCATTCGATTAAAAGTCTCTTTGAGGTTTCCAAGATGGCATTTGGCCTATCAGTGTGAAGATGAGCCCCGATTTTCCCATTTTAAAAGTAGGTCTGTAAATAGAACTCATGGAAAAAGAAATGAAATGAACATTTTGCTAACAGAAAAAAAATTTCCAGCTTTCGAAACGCTTTTTTGGTTGGGATTCAGCATCCTAATTGGTAACTTTTCAATAGCAGCCCATGAGCCAGCTGAACATCCTTTCTCATGGTTACCACAAAATGAAATCGAGATCAATGTCTGCTTTGTCGTCGTTGTGATTTCAGTGCATGGACAATCAACACAGCCGTCCACGAGCACGTGAAAATCGGTTGGTGTTATGTTAGGATCGATTGGTATTTGTTGACGCGTGTAAAGGGGTTCTTGCCTGAAATCTGGAAGAGGTGCTGCTCAAATTTACGACATTAAAAAAAATCAATTACTCAAATATTTGAACATACCTGTTTGCCGAGTGTTTGATGAAGCTGAATTTGGGTTGACACTTGTTGAGTAAAAGGCGTCGGCAAAACTTTATCCCAAAAATTGGACCGCAAGCCAAATCATTTCCGGTTGTTATTTTTATTGTGTGACAGAGACACATCATGTACCGTACCCCGTTATTTCCAGTATAAAAATGTCCTTGTTCTGCATTTTTTGAGCCTTAACGAGGGCGTTCCGTTTGTCTTATTGGTTTGTTTTAAAGGTATAGATAATTGCCGAAAACTGTTTGAATATCTTACTTTTGAAAGATCGGTAAAAACACATGTGTAAAACACACAGTTAGTGTATGGAGAAAACAGAAATACTGATTATGAGGATACACCATGTACTTTCTTCTTTGGGAAGCAGTGGCGTGTCCAGCGGGGGGGAGGAGGGGAAACCTTTTTAATAAAGAAACTTTCAAAGGTGAGTAGGAAAGAAAGTACTTATATTTATATAAGTATATTTATATATCAAATATTAGCACCAAAACCCTTAGAAACAGCACCATGAAATAAAAGCAAGGATGTCGAAATCGTGAGCAAACTTTTGACATTTTATTCTCCCTAACATTATGTTGAATAAACCCAAAGCTGCATTCGAGTTTGAATTTGCGCCCCCCCCCACACCAAAAGCGGGGTACGCCGCTGGTGAGGGAACTTCTCCCTTTGGAATGTCAAACTTAACTGCCCTACGTTTTTCTAAATAGTAGGGAAAACCAGACTTAAATAAAGGCTATCTCGGTTTTTTTGGACGTGTCAAAATACTCTTGTTTCTCATAATTTCTGTTCCAGTTGGATCCTGCTTTAGCCTATCGCAGAATTTTTTGTGGTTCCAATTCTTGGATGTAGACTTTTTTAAAGGGAAGGTCCCGCAAGGCTAAGACTATTTCCTCTTATAACTGGCAATGACAGTAAAGCAGATGATGTGTCCCCAAAATGATGTTTGATGACAAACACAAGAGTACACCGCATGGGGGAAGAGGGTACCTTGGCAGTACACGGCTGGGTTTTTGCCGTGCTTTGCGTGTGTTTGGCCCAAGTCTCTCTCCCTAAAGAAGCCGCAGATACTGCATTGGAAGAGCTTACACTTTGTTATGATTCCTGTACGTCGTAACCAACGATTTCGTAAACAGTTCAGAGCAACGTCACTGACCTTGGCAGTCTCGCACGTAAACAATTTGCTTCACCGCTTAATACCGACAAGGCAGGCCGAACTCCCGCGGCTTAAATTGTGGTCTGATCAGGGTAGAGACGACTAAACTGGCCCTATCATTTTGCCATTATTGATGGATTAATTTAGGTTGTGTGGGTATTTTAATTCGTTCAAACACAATTTTTCTGGTGAAGAGCAGGGTTTTACAAAAACAAAATACACAGCGAATGGCTTCCTCTTCAAATTAGCCCCATTACCAGAAAAAAAGTGCACGTGGCAAAGCGCTCAGGGCTTTACCACGTTCTGGTGACCATATAGAATTTTGGGGGTTTGGGTTGGTACACATATTTGCAATGAGAGGCTTTTCTTTGATTACTTTTGGTTTGATTCTCTGTGTAGCCATGTGGCTTTATTGGCCTCAAAAGTTTTTTTTTTTTAAAATATAGCCTACCGCCACTGCAAGGATGTTAACTTTATTGAAATGAAAAAAAAAACCTCCTGTTGAAGATCAGGAAATTCATGATGTTTTGATTTCAAAGATAACAAACCCAGATTTTCTAGACTAGCAGCCAACGTCTTGGCTTTTCTCGTTTTCTTGATACTGTTTTATGCATTGATTGTGGAATTATATATAATGAAGTTAGATTTTATCATGCTTGGACATATTATTTTGGCACGTTAAAATGGCGCTGAAGAAACATCCTTGCTGTTCCAGCTTAAAATTGGCGTATGGTAGAAATCAATTATTTCTTTCACAATTTTGCAAAGTGTAATGAAACAGCTGTGAATGTCGAAGCACCATCTGATGAACAAACTACGACAAAATCAATGGTATCGTGGCGTCTCCCGTCTGGCTGGATGTCATTAACTGCTATCTCAGCAACTTTTGGGGCATCCAACCAGCCCACGTCTCTCGAACTCTGTTCGCTCCATGCAAGGGGATGGCCGATTTTCAGGCAACATCAGTTCACCAGTTGATTTGTGAATATTTCTACACATAAAAAAATGACATTTATCTCTGCCCAGTCCTTTCCCAGAAAAGAATTGTTCAAAATCCCCCGACTCGTATAGTACTAGTCGTCTTTTGACTGGCTATTTTGTATTTTTCTGTATTTTTTGGCAAAATTTATTATATGCATACGCCCAGAAGTTGAAATTTGACATGCATAACATGTTGCTGAAGAGAGATCTTTCGTGTTAACAGTGTGGCTTCACAGATATGTTTGTGCCAAAAATCAATTCTTTCTTTCGTAGTTTTGCAAAATTTAATTTAACAGCTGCCTAAGTTGAAACACCTGCGATTGTGGGAAAAATCAATGCCATCCTGGCTTCTCCAAATTCGCTGCAATTTCATCATCTGCTAATTCAGCAACTTTTTGGAGGGCCAATCAGTGAACTACTTTTAAACTGTGTTTACTGTGTTTGATTCGTCCAACCGGAAGGCTGTTTTTCAAATAGCATTTTCTCAGGTGACCAATCATTACATTCGAGTTAGTTAATAATGCAAAATTTCCGCATAAAGCCCCGCAGCCCTCAACCGCAAGCTTGACAAGCGTTTACCTCCTGGTAACGCAAAGATCTTCGGGCATTCACATCATTAAAACCAGAATCTGACAAAAAGAAAAAGAATTCACCAGGGGAAAGGAGAACAAGGAACACCAGAAGAGTAGCGATGGCGCGCATCGCTAGCCGGTGCATGGCACTGGTTCTTCTAACTACCTGGATCACAAGGTAAGATGAACAATTTATCACGATGTCCTTTTTCGCTCCAAAACGGTCGAACGCTTGGTTTTACAGGAATTCGGTGCCAACAGATCTTCACAAAAATTGGATAATTTCTCTGCTGGAAATTTCATTGTGTTTGGAATATATCTCCAAAGATTTTGTTGTAACTGTGCAAACATTTCGAGGATTTCATTTTCTAAGTTTTTCTTTTGGAAATTCCCAATCGTTTCCTTTTTGTCAGAATTTTCTTAACTAAAATTTAAAATGCAGGTTTGATAGTGTTCGCATTTCGAAGGCAATGGAACAAAATCGATCTTTTCCTTCAACTGAACAGTGATTACGAAAATGTATGAGGGTGAGTACATACACATGCATCACTTGCTAAGACGTCAAGTATGAACTGACTTTAAAGCGAGTGCAATACTTGAAATGCGTTCACTGATTCTTGTTTAAATGATGATGATAAAACAGTCTCATACCTACGACAGCCCATGAGTGCCATAATGAATGCATTTTCAAAAGTGAATTATAGTCTTACAAATAAGAGAAGTATATTTTTTATGTCCGGTTTAAATATATACGAAATATGTATATATAAGGGTACCAAACTCTTAATGAAATATATATCACGAAATATGTCTATTTCAAGTTTTTCAAGTTCGTCTGAAAGTGTATTTTTCCAGATTTTGTTTTCTGAAAAGGTGAAGTTTACAAAATGCATTGATGAAATTGAGGGCGTTCGTTGTGTCAGGAAGGCAGGTTGTTTAGACAATGCATACGGTGCGTTCGAAAAATATGTCCCCTAGAAACAAACATCCCAAAATATATCTCATATATCTCATAAAACGAATTGTTCTAAAAATAGATCTGGTAAAAACGAACACCAAAAAAGTATATCGCGTAAAACCTTTGTTTCAAATATAGAAAAGTGTCTCTAAAATGGGATTTTTCATAAAGTGAACTTGAAACTTTATAACTAGCCAGAACGAACTTAGAAAAATAGATCTCGTAAAAACAAATTATACATAAAATATATCCCATTAAATAAAATGTTAGGTATGTTTAATATGCTTTAAATTTAAGAAATGTTTACATCACTTTTTCAAAACCTATAGTTCCTGGAACCAGCGTAAATACCACATTTTTGCGTCTCTGTCTCTTATCACAAAACATTATTTCTTTCGATACAGTTTAATCACGCCCAGCAAAAGTGTCTTCACAAACCACACTCAGTGTAGGTTACGTCCCGTTGTTGTCCTTTGTATATTGCTTTATTGGAAATTAATAATTTCTATTCAAAACAAATCCGAATGGATGTCTGTATTAAAAGTATAATGAGATTCTGTTTTCATATTTATTTTTTGATGTTTGACGATGGAGCCATTTCTGAAAAATGAAAGATTTAAATTCCAGAATGAGCTTTGAAAACAAACCGAAAATATGCAACGAAATAAAAAAATAATTGTAGGAAAATGTTTGCGTGAAATTGTTGGAAACACGTACATACATAACATTCCAGAATCACAAAGGGGGATATTCAATGAAAGGTGAAGATTTGAGTTGAATGGTACAAATAAAAACATTTGTTTAGTAGCACAACTGGGGTGTTCAGGGTTGCAGAGTTGCGCAATAGTCTGATTTGGTTTGTTAACCCCTAAAGCGGTGGGGGCGGGATCCGCCCACATAGCGGTCAAAATTGTTCGGGCGGGAACTATCTCCGTAAATTGCTGAGTAGCTATAGAGGGATCCCAATACGACGCTTTTAGCGTCGATCTGCGCACTTCCGCGTTTGAAAACGAGGCTGTATGTGTCAGCTTCAATTCTTAATACGATCAGACGATTGAAAGTAAGGAGTCAAGACACAAAATACATAAAGGTATGTTAAATTCAGACTTTTTAGGCTGCAAATTTTTGTGGAAGAGTCTTTCAGGATGACCTGAAACGTAAAATCAAAAGGAAAAATAACAATTTAACGCTAACTCCCTGCAATGGTCCTGTATCTTGTGCAGTGGGCGTGATTTAAACTGAAGTCGCGTCACACTTACGAACCGGATGCTCCATGTACTGTGTGAACTCCGCGGGCGCGCGCGAGCAAGTTCAACACAGAGAGTTTCGATGCAGATATGCGCAGACGACGCTAATATGAAAACCCTCTATACTTTTTTCGCAATGTCAATTTTTGCAGTTCTGCGTCACCGGCTTCGGACAGGAACAACCTGAACTGTGTCAAGTTCAATAAACGGCTGCTCAGGCCAATCAACAAGTTAGAATGCGAGTGTCCACCTGTCCCTGAGTTCAGTTCTTTGGTTGTTTTCATGCGGGGTTAAATAAAACAACTTATCATGGAAATATTTCAAAGCCCCTGAATTTCAGAGGCGTACAGAAAATTGCACTCAAAATTTCTCCAAGCAAAAGCATTTTCTGAAGGCCAAAGAGAAAGTTAACTATAGCAGGAATCTTTATGTTTTCTCGGTGAATTCATCAAAAATAAGACCTGCACTGGTGCTCTGGAATGAGATCTTTCATTGTTTGCGTTTTATTTGCTTTAATTTTATAGGACTCTGCCACAGTAATTTTCTGATGCAATTGTTTGTCTTGAAAGTTCCGGGGCATGTCAAAAATGCTCGAAATTTTATGCAGTGGTATGCGACTTTGCAAAAGTGTGATGTCATAGAGAGAAACCTTAGTATTGCAGCTATTTCTGCACCAAAATTTACCCATACTTTGGTGATTCGTTCATTTGGGATCACGTGTAGACAAGCAAAGCAAAGTGTTCTCAAATAGGTTCTTATTACATGTGGCAAAATTTGCGTTTACTTTTCAAAGAAAATCCCCAATGAAGAGTGCATTGCAGTAATGACTTCCATAACATCACAGTAACAGCGCCCTCAAATGTCAGGATTGTTGATAAACCCATGACATCAGAAACCAAGGCCATACTCAAAAGCACATGATTTTTAAAAGAGTGATTAATTTGGCTTTTCTGTTCTGCTATCTTCCTAATCACGTTTTACAAATACTAACTTATTCCCACCAAAGTGGGAAATGTGTATCAGTGTTTATTTGTGAATTACATTAAAAAAAAGAAAAAAGGATGGGCGATTTGAACATTTTAAAAGTGTGCTTTTTATGGAGTTTTTCCCATGCAAGCTGTGTGAAGAACAACTTACACAAGCATACCCAAGTACAATTCATGTCCTGGACCCTTAAAAACAAGCCCTCTTAAATTTGAAACAAACCAAACCAAAGCAAACCAAACTTAAGCAAAGCAAAGCAAAGCAAAGCAAAGCAAAGCAAAGCAAAGCAAAGCAAAGCAAAGCAAAGCAAAGCAAAGCAAAGCAAAGCAAAGCAAAGCAAAGCAAAGCAAAGCAAAGCAAAGCAAAGCAAAGCAAAGCAAAGCAAAGCAAAG